CACACAGTCAGATTCAATTCACAGCTAACTCTCCAACAAGTTTTCAGAGACTGTAAATCGCACAGGAGGAGACTTCCCTTCTTTCTCCCTCGGAGCAACTGACAGATTCAAACTTCTCAAATTTGGGTTGGCAGCAAAACATCCTACCCAACAGGCCGCAATCTCCTCCTGAGATCTAGGATCTACTTCAAATTAATTGTGTATATGTATATTTGGTTGTTCTAGCATCATTCATTTAAAAGATTTTTGTTTCCTAATTGAATTGCCTTGACAACTCTGCTAGGGGAAAAAATATTTTAAAACCACTATGTACATAAATGAAACACAGTGTAAATGAATATGCACGTTGTTGTTATGTACTACAACGTTGGAACTGACCCACAGCTGACCTGGTGAATTTTCTGAGGCAGTTAATCACATGGGAGGAGACGGCCCATCCTTCTCCCAGGGAGTAGGTGGTGGCGTCAAGCCACATGCTTTGGGGAATGCAGTGCAGCTTCTTGTCACTAGGCCACCAGAGTATGAAAAAAAGAAGAAAAAAAATATAGCAAAACCAAAACAAAACCCCAATGCATGGAAATGCGTATCAGCATACCACTGGTCCTACAACTGGTGATACAATTAAAAAAAAAACAAAACAAAACAAACATTTAAATGTGAGCCTATTTCTAGCATCTAGTTCGATTGATTTATTTGTTGATCCCTTGCACAAGAACACACAATCTTGTTTATTATAACCTTAAAAGACTAGACATTAGATGGCTATGTCTTCTAACCTTCTTTACCTTTTTCTTCAAGTTTGCTTTGGATATCCTAGGTTCTGTGCATTTCTATATAAATTTTAGACTCATAATTGCCCATGCTGAAGTTTTGTCTGAGATTATGGAAAATAATGAAATCAATGCACAGAAGCAGTCTACCATCTCTTTATTTCGTGGAGTGTTTGGTGGGTTCAAACTGCCAACTTGTTGGTTTAAAACAAAACACTTTAACCACTGCTCTCAATGAAAGAGGCTACCACGAGGATGAAGAAAATGAAGGGAAGTGATGTACAGATATTATAGGTCTGATGCTTCTGTGACAGCAGACCCTGGGGCCTCTCCATCAGCCGAAAGCATCCCCAGTGTCCTGCTCCTTTAGCAGTAGTTCTCTCTCAGAATTTATCCTTCAACTCAGAAAAACTGATTTCAACCCTTCTGGGATTCGTCACAATTTCTAGTCCTTCAAGGCAGTCAAGAAACCAAAGGACAGGATGCACTGGACAAATCTGCTGCCACGGACTTCTTTAAAGTGCTAAAGAGCAGGGGTGTCTATTTAAAGATCAAGGTAAATCTGACTTAAGCCATGGGCTGTATGTTCTACTACTTCATTTGCATGTGAAAGTTAGATAACGAATAAGGAAGATCAAAAAAGAACTGATGCCTTTGAAATGTGTTAGTGAAGAATATGGAATATACCATGGACTGCTGTGGCATTAGCCTAATAAAAGTTGGGTTTTTTTAGCCACTGAGCCTCTGGTCTCCAGCTACCTTAAGTGCAGACACATGGTCTTACTGACTATCAGCTGTGGGACTAGGCTAAGTGAAGGAGTGCGTCCCATAATGAGCAGCAAGACTTGGGGTGTAAAAGACTTAAGGCAAGCAAGGCTTGTGGTGGCAAGACCTGGTGGTGGAGAGACTGGCGTTGCTGTGGAGAAACTGTGGCAAGGTGTTACCTGAGGCTTCTTGTACTTGTGCTGGCTACAACTGAGTTTTGCTGTTCTTGCCTTTGATGATGGAAGGAAAAGCTGCTTACTGAATTGAAATCACAGCCTGGACTAACTGAGGAGTTATATGTAGGACTGCTGGACTGAAACTGGACTTATATTGTGATATTTTTTGCTTCCTCCACTCTCCAACTTCCTTCCCTAGTAAACCCCATTGTTGGTACAATAACTGTAAGTCTGTCAATCAGCAATGAATAAATGAACCTCTGCTGCTGGGGCTCTAGAGACACGATGGCACTGGGCTATGGGCTCCTGATCTGCTTGCTGCTAGGGGCTGTGTTATTCTTACTCTCTCTGGCCCTTTCAGAGAAATGCTGATGGTCATGTGCCCCCATGTTTCATTTTCTTCTATTTAATCAACTGCCAAAAAAACAAACAAATCTGCTTGGAAGAAGTAAAGTCAGGGTGTTTCTAAAGAGATGAGAGTTGTTGTCTTACACTCTAGGCATGCTGTCCAGAGGAGGTTTCTCTATGGAGAGGGACAGAATGCTTGGAGAAGTAGAGAGTCAGAGAAGGCGAGGAAGATACTCAATGAGAAGAACTAACACACTGAGGACAACAACATGCTTAAAGCACTTAAGAGAGTGTGAAGATGGCACAGGATCAAGCACGGTTTCAATTTGTTGTGCATAGGGTCGTTAGGAAGTGGCGCAGACTTGACATCTAACAGCAACAACAAGGCTTCCATTTTCAAGTTTTCAGAATGAAACTACAATGGGTTCATTCCCCCCCCCCCATCGCAGCACAGCTACAGAAAACTGTTGGAAGTGCTGGCTGGGTTTAGAAGAGGCCATAGCACTAGGGATATTATAGCTTATGTCAGATGAAACTTGGCTGAAAGCAGAGGGTAACAGAGGAATGTCTATCTGTGATTCTTTGACTATGCCAAGTCATTTGACTGTGTGGATCACAAGAAACTGTGGCTGACTCTGAGAAGAATGGGAACCCCAGAACATTTGATTATGCTTGTGTGAAACCTATACTTGGACCAGGAGGCAGTTGTCACAACAGAGGAAGGAGACATGACATGGTTCAAATCGAGAAGGCTGTCCGCTAGGGATGTATTGTTTCCATACCTTTTCAATCTATATACAGAACAGATTATCCAGGAGGCTGGGCTCTATGAGGAGAAATGTGGCATTAGGATTGGAGGAAGACTCATCAACAATCTGCACTATGGAAATGACACAATCCTGCTTGCTGAAACTGAGGAGGACCTGGAGTGCTTGCTGCAGAGGGTCAAGGACTGTAGCCTTCAATATGGACTGAAGCTCAACATCAAGGAAACAAAGATTCTCACCACTGGGCCAACTGACAGCATCATGATAGATGGTGAAGAGATTGAGACTGTTGACAGCTTCAGTTTGCTTGGCTCTACAGTCAACACTTTTGTACCAGCAGCCAGGAAATTAAAAGACAAATTGTACTGGGAAGGTCTGCTGTCAGAGACCTCTCCAAAGTATTGGAGAGTGATAATGTCAGTCTGGAGATTAAGGTGTGCCTGATATAGGCCATGGTCTTTGTAATCACTTGCTATATACATCAGAAAGCTGGACAATGACTAGGGAGGATAGAAGGAGAGTTGATGCCTTTGAGCTGTGGTGTTTGAGAAGAGTACTGAATATGCCATGGACTGCTACAAAGAACATGTTTGTCCTGGAGAGGGTGAAGCCAGGCTTGCTCCTTGTAGGCAAGGATTCTGAAAGTTCCTCTGACATACTTTGGACATGTTGCAAGGTGGCACCAGTCCTTGGAGAGGGACACCATGCTTGGGAGGGTGGAGGGACAGCCCAGGAGAGGAAGAACCTCGATGTGATGAATTGATTCAGTTACTAGAGTAATGGGGGTGGATGTGTCAGAGCCAATAAGATTGGTATAGGATAGAGCAGGGTTTAGGGTTGTTGTACATAAGGTCACTATGAGTCGCAGGCGACTCAACGGCACATAACAACAACAGTCACCCATAAGGGAGTTCCAGTGGCCAAGCGGAAAGAAGCTGCACTACACATTGAAAAACAAAGAACTCAGGAAATATTACACAAAATGGGTGGCCCTGGAGGGTCATGCTGAGTGAAATACCTCAGTCACAAAAAGACAAATATGGCATAATGCCACTGTTATAAAAGAGGACAGACATAGGGGTTGGGGGAGACTGTGAAAGATAAGTAATGTATACTGCATTGAAACAGATGAGGGAGAGAACGGTTTAAAAGGGATATATGATTAGATATTATTGTCATGACAGGAATCCAGAATGAAGGCTGCATAGTGGAGTGGACTTGGGGGGAGGGATTGAATAACAATGAAAGAATTGTTCTTTTACTTTTCAAAGAGAAAAGTAAATTGGGGGGAGGGGTGGGCAGAGAGAAAAGTGTAACAATGAATGAATGGAAATCCTCAGTCTCTGCAAACTTTCATCAAAATCAATTTTAAGTAAAAAAAAACAACCCCCCAAAACAAAACAAACAAAACAAAAACAAAAAAAAACCCACCAAAAAACACTGTGCTGCAATCTCAAAGGCACATGGTTCAAATCCTCCAGCTACTCAGCAGGAAAAGAATGGGCAATCTTTTCCTGTGTGATTCTCTGCCTGAAAATTCAATGGAGGGTCGGCTGTGGGTTAGGGCAAACTGAACAGGACACAACAACAACATTACCTATAAGGTTTTGTGTGAAGTGCAAACTGGCCACATACACAGTTTTCCATTTTTTTAAGCCAAAAAAGAATTTTTAAAAACGTAAGCATATTTCCATGTCTGAATGAAATATTACTTTTACTAACTGATTACGCTTTTATATATGTTTTCCCACCAAATGAAATAGAATAGAATTAGATGGTTGAAAAATAAACAGAAAGGGCATTCATATATGATTAAGAGCACAAGCCTGACAGTAGAGGCAAGAATGAGTCTGACGTCCTTATCTACCAAGTTGACAAAGCAGGTTTAAGTGGGGCATCGTGGTGGGAAACTGCTATACTTAGGAGAATAGGAGCACAGCTTGGGATGGTTAAAAGAGAACAGAAGAGACGAAGAACCATATAAGAAGGAGGATACTAGCAAAAGAAACCCCAACAACCCACATTTCTAAAACCAAAGCTTTCAAACACATACATGTCTATACTTTCCCCAGTAAAAGTAATTTGGTTGATTCTTCATTAATGCTGATTAAAAGAATGAGTTTTAAATGCAATGTTTTCCACAAAGAAACCCGAAGGAAAGAATGTCTACTCACCCAGGCCAGAGATGTTTATAGCTTTCACAGATTTCTTCATTTTGTAAAGAACCATCCGGTCCACATCCAAAGCCTAAAATACAGAGAACATCTAATCAAAACCTGTGTTAGCTGTTAGAACACGCTTCCAGACAGCGGCCACATGTAAGCCACTGGGGACGGCCTACGCTCAACTCTGCAAGGCTACCATGGGGTCACTGTGTGAGACCAACCTTCAGTGTGCACAACTGGTGTGCAAACTACACCGACACTAAACAGCGGTTTTGTAGATAACCATGAAACACCAACTCTTGACTTGTCTCCTCAACTGCAGCATGGAAGCGCCTGCTGCCAACAGTCCCTGCTGAACACTAAACTTCTGCAATGATATGTGCTAACACAGCCATGCTCTACTTCTACCAAATCTCAGTTCTCCCACTGCACCCACAGGACTCGGTGATGTGCTGGCTTGGCAGGGTTTGCCCACTGCACCTGCGCTTCCCGACACAGAGAGAAGGGATTGTAAATAGAAACAGGAAGGACTAGGACAGAGGGGAGCCACACTGTTACTAGAACATTAATATTATGATTGTTCTGTTGTTATGGTATCATTGTAATTCATTTTCTCTTCAGTTCATTTGTTAAAACCAAGGCATCTGAAAGGAATTTAGTAAGATAATGAATGCAAAAGCACAATAAATGTCATCAATTACCGTGCTAAGGACTAAGCTCATTACTAAAAAATGCATTGCCACTGAGTTGGAACCGACTCAGAGCTGACCCTCCCATGGGTTTTCAGAGGCTATAAATCACACAGGAGCCTGTCCACCTTTATCTCACTGGGCAGCTGGTGGATTTGAACCACTTGCCTTTGGGTTGGTAGTGCAAATCCTTACTCACTAAACCACCAGAGCTCCCTATGTTAAAGACTAAGGGTTTCATTACTGTAGTCTGTGCCTACCTAAGAGAAACTATAGGCATAAGAGAACAGTTCGGCCAAGTCAGGAGAAAACTATAAGAACCCACTTAAGGCTAATAGTAGGAGTTTTCACAAATAATGACATTTAATTTAATTTCCCATCAACTAAAAAAAACAAAAACAAAAACAGAAAAAAAACACAACAAAGAGAAGAACAAGGACTGTCAGCTTTTAATTGCTGTGATGGAAGAATGGGAGATTATAAAACTGAGACAGCCAAATCGATCACAGGGTTATTGTAAAGACTATGAGAAACTGCAAACAAAGCAACTACTCAGCAATCTATGCACAGGAGGCGCGTTCACCACCATGCATACTCTCTCTCACTGCCCTAGAGTCAGAACCTACTTAGAGTTGACCTTCCACTGGGTTTCTGAGGCTGTAAATCACACAGAAGGAGACTGCCAATCTTTTTCCTTATGAACAACATACCAGAGCTACCTCATTACTAATGATACCTATTATTTACTACTCATTTTGAGTTTTTATTACAAAAATAATAATAATTGCAGTTATCTATCATTTGAAAGACAGTACTAGACCTGAAGGCACAGATTCTGAACTTTCAGCATTATCAAATCATCTCTGGCATGTTGTTGTTGTTGTTGTTGGTTTGTGCCATCGAGTTGCCCATGACTCAGAGCAAACCTATGTACAGCATCCTAAACCTGGCTCTATCCTGTGCCAGTCCTATTATCTCTGATACACCTACCCCCATTAATCACTCCCGTCACTGAACCAATCCATCTCACTGAGGGTCTTCCTCTCCTGCACTGTCCCTCCACCTTCCGAAGAATGATGTCCCTTTCCAAGGACTAGTCCCTCTTTGCAACATGTCCAAACTATGTCAGACAAAGCTTCAGAATCCTAGCCTCCAAGGAGCAGCCTGGTTTCACTCTCTCTAGGATAAACGTGTTCATTCTCTTAGCAGTTCATGGTATATTCAATACTCTTCTCCAGCACCACAGCTCAGAGTTATCATTCTCCTTCTACCCTCCCTAGTCACTGTCCAGCTTCCTGATGCATAGCAAGTAACTGGAAAGATGCACCGTAGTCTCCAGACTGACATCGTTGTTCTTTAGTACTTTGGAGACATCTCTGACAGCATACATTTTAAAGTATTATTATTATTCTTTTTATCTTCTTGTGGGTTATTTATTTTGTGGGGGGTTCCACACTCTGATCTTCAGCTGGATTGACAGACAGCCCGTCCAACACCAGAGAGTCTGTATGCTAGCTCCCATGGCACACAGGTTTTTGTTCTGGTATTTTGTTTTGTTTTGTTTTGGCAGGGGCGTACATTTTTAATAAAAGTATCAAAAGTTCTGTTCTAGCTCACCTGCAAACATTTATTTTAGATGTGAACAGATCAAGTGTCCATCAACAGACTATTAAATAAAGAGACTACAGAAAATTCACAGAATAGAGTATGTGTAACATTGAAAAACAGTAAGAAATTTGCAAAACACTGCAGAACATGGAGGAATCTAGAAGACATTATGGTGAGTGAAAGAAAACATTCTCAAAAGCACTAACATTATATCAAATGCAAACTCCATGCCATTAAGTTAGAAGGGACTTACAGGCGACCCTCCTGCATGCTTTCAGAGGCTGTAAATCACATGAGAGGAGACTGTCCATTTTTCTCCCAAGGAGTAGTTAGTGGATTTGAACCATAAGAGAGGTGTCATCTTTGGGTAGATGGTGCAACTCCCTATTTGCAATAGTATAACTACATCTAAACCCACTATTATAAAGAGTTAAAAAATAGTGTGTCCACAGAATAATTCTTGAATAGATACCAAAGATGTGAAAGGAGGAAGAGAATAAATATTAGTAATTAGAGGCACACATTAAAGTGAAGAGACAGGCAACATACAATAGAGGGATAACCAGCACAATATCACTGAAGGAAAGAAAGATTCAGAAAGGTATAAAAGGGTTATTAACTACAGGAAAGACCTGGGGGAAAGTGCAATTAAACTGTGGGTACTGAAATTAATGCTAGCCAACAAAATGCACATGAATGGTTGAATGAAAAATTCTTTGTAAACTTTCATTCATATCACAAGAAAAATGGTTCTAGGAATCACTATTTCATTGGATACCAAGAACAGATGAGCTTAGAGATGACAATATGAAATACGAAAAACAGTCACAAAGCGGCAGGCATCGGACAGACTGGTGACAACACAAAGGGAAGTTGTAATAAAAAGCTCTTATGTTCTGGCTGGCTACAGAAAGAGATAGAAGACAGTTAAACATTCTCACAGAGAATTAACTCATTTCTGCAGGTGGTCACGTCTAATCCAATCTTGACCTTCTCATGAGATACAAAAGTGACTTCCAGGGGCCCAGTGCTCTGTACTGCCAGTGCCAGAGATCAGACTGAGGGTTTAGTCACGGCCGTGTCAGAAACACTGGAGTTCTTGAAACTTTATTGATCGAGTGTCAAGAGAGCACAGCTCTCACATACCAAGACACAGGTTCAGCACACTCATCAGAGCCTTACTGAAGTTCCGCGTCCCCAGGGGAGTGGGGCCATCACTGGAAAACATTTGATCTAATAAACACCTCCTTAAAGCTTTGACAGAATTTGGTCCTACCGTGACTTCAGAATTAGCTAGACTGGTGGAATCTGGCTTGCATTAAAATAAAACCCTTGCCTCTTTCTACACCTTCCCAAAGGCAGTAGCAGGCAGTGTTAGGAACCTGATTAGGCTCTATGAAAACACTAAAATGTGTCCAATATTTTTATTAAATATTGAATATGTTAATGACAATGAATAAAGATGACAGAAGAAGAATCTATGGCTTGGAATTGTGGTTGAAGAGGAGTACTGAATATCTCATGGACCGCCAAAAGAACAAACAAGGATGTCTTGGAAGAGATGCAACCAAGGTGTTTCTTGGAGGCAAGGATGGTGAAACTTCCTCTAATACTTCAGGTATGTTGTCAGGAGGGGCTAGTCCTTAGAAAAAGACACTGTGCTTTTGTCTTTCTGGGGAAAGATGGAGGATCAGAGAAACAGAGGAAGACCCTCACACTGACGGACTGGCACAGTGACTCAACAACGGGTCGAGCACATCAGAGACTGTGAGGACTGTACAGGATAGGGCAGGGTTCAGATTTGCTGTTCAAAGGGTTTCTCTGGGTTGAAGTCACCTCACAACACCTACCAACAGCACCATGATTTAAGAGGGTTTACAAGGCAGGTGGTACAATGATTAAGCATATGGTTGCTAACCATAAGGTTGGGTTTTCAAAACTATAAATTATAATCCATAGGATTGTTATGAGTCATTGGTGACTTGATGACACCTAATAATAATAACATGAAAGAAAAAACAACCACTTAAAAGACGGAGAACTTAAAACCAAAAGCAGCTCCGAGCCTAGGGAACTAGTAAGATTCCCTGATGTCCTTAGAAAAATGCATGCTAGCACACCTTTGAAATCACTTGCTATGCGTCAGAGAGCAATGACTGGAGATGATAGAAAGAGAGTGGATGTCTTTGAGCTGTAGTGTTGAAGAAGAGTATTGAATATACCATGCACTGCCAGGAGAACAAACAGGTTCATCCTAGAGAGGGTGAAGCCAGGGTGCTCCTTGGAGGCAAAGATTGTGAAGCTTGGTCTGACATACTCTGGGCATGTTGCAAGGAAGGACCAGTTCTTAGAGGGGGAGGTCATGCTTGGGAGGGTGGAGGGACAGTGTAGGAGAGGAAGATCCTCTATGAGGTGGATTGATTTAGTGACTGGGGTAATGGGTGTAGGCGTGTTGGAGCCAATAAGATTGACACAGGACAGAGCTGGGTTTAGGGCTGTTGTATAAAGGGTCCCTATGAGTCTCAGGCGACTTGACTGCACATAACAGCAATAACAGCAGCATATCTTTAAGACATTTTTATTATCTGATCCCTGCTCACTTCTCCAGTTTTATCTCTTGACGTTCATTCACACCCCACCTTGACTAAGTATCAATCATACCTTTAGTGTGAATCATAATGAACTAATTAAAATATTCCCTTCTCTTCTATTTCTGAGAGGTTGAACATTCCGTCCCTCCTTAGAATATACACCCTCTTCTTAACCCACTGATTTCTACTTCAAC